CAGCCCCTGCTGCTGGAGGCTGGTGTGGAAGGGCGGTACATGACGATGGTTCTAGGTAAAGACGACCGGCTCTGATCACGAACCCTCGCACCCTACGCCTGATTGGGTATTTATTCGAATTGACAGGCGGCCTTCTCGTTGTCTTGTCCACTGGTCACTAATTGACAACGATGACGGCTGACCTTGTCCAGTCTGTCGTTGGTCTGTGACTCATTAGGCCCAGGGCTCTAATCCTCTCTCTACATATACTGAATGTCAGTAATGATAATGAAATAGATAGATAGATAGCACGTTATTATCTCTCAGAAGTTTCCTTCGGGGAAATGTAGGTAATCAGACAGTAATTAATTAATTAAATTAATTGTCTTAATTAGACAGTAATTGAAAAGCAGCAGGAGAGCCAACAGTCACAGACTCATCGTGGTGGAACTTTCATTGGTATTTTCTCTTCAAAAAAAAAAAAAATCTAATAACATATTGATATCTATTAAAGTTATTCTCAGACCAAAGCCAAGAAAAAAAACAACGTTTGTAAAACAATAACAATAAAAAAAAAAGGTTTGTTTGACAGAACCATTTTCATTGACAGCTTAATGTCTGTAACGTAAACATCACGTCAGGTGACATTTCACTCTCGGCGTCAGTGGTTGTGACACCTGAGCGAGTTACCGTTCTTTATCTGTGAGTGATTTACGGCTCCCATTACTGTAAACTGAAGGACTCCAACCCTGCAATCAACTCCATTAAGTCATTGTGAAACCGACACCGTGAGCTTTTATATGAACGTCATTTAGGAGAGGCCGGGATCCATTTATAGCCGTGGAATGTGTGAATGAATCATTTCTTTAACAAAACCTGAATGACTGTTAAAGGTGTAAAGGTTTTTCTCTGTCACACAAAACAACCCTATAATTTAGTCATCATAAAAATATTAAAAAAATTCACACGTTTAATTCTGTCTGTCGCAAACCTTCAAATTAATAATGTCGTATCCTCTACCTCCTTTTTGAGGAATTTTAAAGGCTATAGAGCATATTGACAAGAGTAATTAACCTCGAAAAAAACAACTTTTGCTTTGTGGTTCATAATGAGGCCTCTATTGAGAATTGCTTTCCTTAATTTTACCACTGGACCAGTACATTATCTCCAAAATGTCTTTTGTGGTTCAAAAAGGAAGATGTTCCTCAAAGATGTTTAATTTGTGACCACTATAATGACACACAAATGCACTTTCCACAATCCCAAAAAAGCTCTACCTTTGACTCAGGGATCGTCACCTCAGTCATGTCCTCCTGAGATTTTTTAGCTCGACTTCCGTTCGTGCAAAAAAAATAAAAATCTCGAGGCTTCAAGCAGCGGCATGTGTGTGTAAACACAGTTAGCGTCGCACTCATATGGTCTATATTTACTCGGCGTAACTGAGTTTACGTGTGATGTCATGGCATGAGCCCAAAATGGCCTTCACATGGTTTCCCTTAGAGGCGTCCGTCCCTTTGAGACGTTTTTTCTTTAGGAATTCTAACAAACTACAGGCTCAGAGTGGATGAAAGAAGTAGTTAAGTATCACAGATTGAACAATTCATGCCGCACCACGGTTGGTTCTCCCACCAGATGTTTGTCATGTGAAGGAGAATAATGTGATTGTGGCGTTCTGCCCTAACAGTCTGCACTCTATATTCCCATTTTCTCTGAACTGTAATGGAAGTAACCGAGAGGCTCTGGAATGAAGACGGATACTGCGCCCCGGGAGTATTACTTAAAGTATTACTTAGAGTGAATTTCCCTGAGCTTTAATGCAGATTCTCAGATGGTCGATTCCTCCTGCAGTTGGTAGTTTTGACATAGTGTCGATGTCATTTGTCCTGCTGCTGTTGTTGTGTGGGGGACACTTACACTTTGTCCTGGTCGGGGCATTTTGTTGTTGGGTTTTTGGAGAGTTGGGATAAGGATTAGGGTTAGACATATTTGTAATTCACGTTATGGTTAAGGTTAGGGAATGAATGACTTGAGTGTGTGTGTGTTGACTGCAGGAGAAGACAGAATGTGTGTTCTACAGCTGGTGATAAGATCCCTCATGATGGAACCTCACAGCTGCAGCAGAGAGAAATGTGATGGAGGGGCCGACTGTGTCCCCCATTTTTATCTTTCTCAAATATCCCACCTGTCTGTCTGTCTGTCTGTCTGTCTGTCTGTCTGTCTGTCTGTCTGTCTGTCTCTCTGTCTGTCTGACTGTCTTTATTTCTGTGTTTTTGCTGGTCTTTTTTCCATTCCATTTTTAGCCAAGGCTCCAACCAAGTTGCCCAAACACAAACATTTGTTTCTAACCTCTCTCTCTCTTTCTCTCTCTCTCTTTCTGGTAGTATTCCGTTGTATTTGGAATTTGCCAGAACACGAGCAGATGTTTTATTTGAAAGCAGCAACCAGCCAACTTGATTAGTTCTTTATTTTTTTCTGTAAACAATTACACAAGAGGTCAATCAATCCAAATGTACCCTGAAAATAATCATCCAAACATCACAGACGCACTGTCTGAACATGGGTTCAAACTGGTGACCATCAATGTTGTCAAACAGTGACACCAACCACATCCACCCAGTGATGGACAGTGGCTACATGTTTTATTTATTATCATCTGCATGGTTGGAGCCGTGCGATAGTTTGACAGAGACTGTGGTTTAATGAGAGAAACGCCAAATGACACAGAATTCTGCTTCGTTGTAATGACAAATCCACGGGGCGTCTTTAAATGTCACGCTCCAGGCCTCAGATCTGGTGGTTGTTGACTCGACACGTGCGCCTCCACATGAACACCCATGGTGTCGTGGCATGTTCCAATTAACCAGACCTGACCATGTGTGGAGGATGAGCTGGGGAACTGGTTACCTCTCAGCAACAGACTGTCGCAGTCTGATGATGTCGGGGAAACATCAACCTGGTAGTTTGGCAACAAAGAGGAAAACGCACAACCGGAAAAGTTCACCCCATATCTAGTAATCATTGTTTTGGCACTTTGGTCAGCAGTCACCTTGGAATAAAGAATAAAACCGAGTTTTAATCAAGAGTTTAAAGTTGTTATCGAAGCCTTAGTGAAGCTGTGAGTGGGGGGGGGAGTCGGCCTCAGAACCGTCAGCACCTGTGAGATCATCTGGCCTCACAGAAACTCAGAAACGGGGAGTATGTGCGTGCGATTGTCAAGGTATCGAAGCCTTAGTGAAGCTGTGAGTGGGGGGGGGAGTCGGCCTCAGAACCGTCAGCACCTGTGAGATCATCTGGCCTCACAGAAATGGGGAGTATGTGCGTGCGATTGTCAAGGTCTCACAGGAACCGGAGAACAGATAATGAGCAGCGTTTCCCATCAGTGACGAGAACACACCAGGTCTGACCGGACGTTAGAGGGGTTTTCCACCGACTGTGAGAGTTTTAGTACAAGACAAATGGTGGATAATAGTATTAATAGTAGTAGTATAATAGTAGTAGTACTAGTAGTAGTCGTCATATGCTTATCTTACACTTGCGTTGTTCAAACACATCATTTGTGCCATAGTGTTAGTTTTTTCTAGCGATGGCTCGATTCGATACTCAGGATTTTCATCGGTCTGATATTGGTCAAAAATTCAGGACCAAACATTGGGAAAAAAAACCTAAAAAACAACAACAATAGCCAGATCCGATATCTACGCAAAACCCAGGACCAAACATTGGAAAAAAAACTAAAAAACAACAACAATAGCCAGATCCGATATCTACGCACAAATGCTAACTTTGAACTTTTACCGCCGCAAAGGCAGCCCAACATGGGTTCAGTTATGTAAACAGGAGAAACAACTGAGTCCTAGAGTTAATTAGAACTTTGTTTAAGTCAGATCAGTACACAACAAATGTGGGTCTGGTGGTAGAATAAACAGAAAACTCATTTTTACTTTTACCGTTAAGTTTCTTAGCGTAGCGCTACCTTTGTCAAACTGCTGTCTCTCTCTTTCGCAGCTGTCGGTCCAGTGCTTGGTCTTTTGTTCATCCCTCTGATTGGCTCAGCAAGTGACCAATGCAACAGCAGTTACGGCAGAAGGAGACCGTTCATCTGGCTGCTGTCTGTGGGAATCCTTTTAGCACTTTTCATCATTCCCCATGCAGATTTCCTGGCCACTCATCTTTTCTGGGGCGGCCGGACACTTGAGGTAAAAGATGAGTTTGACTTTTTCAAAGTACAGAAGGCAGATGAAATGAAATGGTCTCCCACCTCAGATGTGACTGTTTTTTTTTTTCACCCCACAGATCGGCATCCTCATCTCTGGGGTGATCCTGCTGGATTTTTGTGGACAAGTCTGCTTCACACCACTGGAGGCACTGTTGTCTGACCTGTACCGGGACGAGGACGACTGCAGCCAAGTCTTTGCGTGGTTTTCCTTCATGGTCAGCCTGGGAGGATGTATCGGATATTTGTTGCCGTCACTGGACTGGAGCCACAGCTTCCTCTCTAACTACGTCGGAGGTCAAGCAGAAAGCCTTTTCTTCGTCCTCATCCTCATTTTTATCTTCACTTTACTTACAACCATGAAGGTGTCCAAGGAGACCTCGTGTGCAACCAGTAAGTTGCCCGTATCTGGATCCCTGTTAGAGCCCAGCGCTGGGGTCGTGGAGGTCAGCCGCTGTTACATGCCGCGCTCGTGCTTCAGCGTGCTGAAGTGTAAGCTGAGGATGTGGAAGTCGACCTCCCTGGTGTGCTTGTTGAGAACATGCTGGTCCATGACTCCGGCCATCTACAGGAGTTACCGTCACGTCCCGCAGGTGATGAAGCAGCTGTGTGCCGCTCAGCTCTGCAGCTGGATCGCCGTCATGTCTTTTGTGCTTTTCTTCACCGAATTCATGGGAGAAGGCCTGTACGAGGGCGTACCCAGCGCTTTACCAGGAAGTGCCTCCAAACTGAAATATGAACAAGGTCAGGTTTTCTTCTACTATTACCCCCCCACTGCAAACGTATCCTTCTAAAATGTCAGGAGAGGATTGTGGATGTGACGTCGTGTTTTATCAAATTACCATTGAAGCTTCTCAGCAGCTGATTTAGAGTCCGTCCCACACACACACACACACACACACGTAAACTCTCAGGTTGTGACAGCAGGTGAACCTGTTTCTCTGCGTGCCTTCATGTTTTTTCGTGCAGTATTAGCTCCTGCCAAGTCATAGTTCAAATGTGTGGACGCTTGCACTCAAATTTCACTTTAGAAATATTTTGAAAAATCTGCCACACATATAGATTATTTGTCGACCTCTTTTTAAGAGTTGTTTTAAAATATATCTTATGGTCTGATTTTTTTTTTTTTTTTTTTTTCCACGGGTTTTGCAAACTGAGCTCCACAGCTTTGCCTTCCATGAGTAACACGATCCATATACACACTTAACTGAGTCAGTGCTTTGCTGCTGAACTCGTGACCCGTCATGTTCACCCAAAAACAAGCCGAGACACTGAGCTGATCACAGGCTGACACCAACAGTCCGTCTGTTTTAGGTAAAAGCAAAACCAAGTCAAACATCGGAATTATGAAAAATGAGGTGTTTTTGAAAACCACCATAAACCACTTCCTTAAAATATAAAAGGTTGACTAGCATCAAGTTCTTCAAGTTTATGAAAAACTTGATGTTTTGGTTGCGTGAAAAAAAGAAGAAGCCTGAACCAAAGGCCCGGTCCTCTTAGAAAAGTGCGGCTCTCGACTCACCGCTCACTCCGTCCGTTCTTCTTCCAGGTATCCGAATGGGCAGCCTGGGCCTGTTCATGCAGTGTGCTACCTCAACAATCTTTTCCCTGATCATGAGTCATTTGGTTCGTCACTTCGGCTCACGAACGGTCTACGTGAGCAGCATGGTCTGCTTCACGCTCTCCGCTTTGGTCATCTGTCTGTCCAGGAGTGTGTTTCTGACGATTGTGATGACATCACTCACTGGCTTTGCATATGCCATGCTGCAGACTCTGCCTTACACACTCACCTGCCATTACCATGCAAAGAAAGAGGTGAGTACTCATTTTAGGTTTTCTCCTTCAAACAATAACCAGCTGCCTGTTACTGTAGCCTAAGTCAGTGATTCCCAACCAAAACTATTTTTAATTATTTATTGAAAATAATATTTATTTTGTTCGTCTGTGCGTGACAGGCAGAGCAATTAAATCCTCACCACTAGGTGGCAGCAGATGGCTACAAAAAACAAGAAAATCTGTTGAAACTGAAGATTTTGGCGTGTCTTTCTTCAATTCCTGTGAGTAAAGCAGCGTTGTGTTCAACAAAATGAGTAAATTAGGAGTAAAGTATTTCTACTCTTATAGTTTCATGTATATTTATGTATTTTATATTTTTATATATTTTTACCGTTTTTATTTCATGTTTTCCTGTTTATGTTGCTGTAGGGGTTTTTACCGATGATATATATTAATTTTTTTTCTTTTTTCAAAATATTATCTATTTTTCTCTACACTTACAAACAAAAGCGAGAATATTTTTAAAGTAGGAAACCCTGAGACATGTATGTCTATATACATATTTTATTTTATATATTTTTATATTAGAATGTAGGTGAATGTTTTTCTTTTCCTTGTTTCAGGTCTTTATGCCAAAGAGAAAAGTTGACGTTAAGCATAAAAAGGGAATAAAAACCAAGAGAGACCCTTTAATTGTCGCAGATATAGACGAGGAGGAAGGACTGATCCACAAGACGGGGGATCCCTACGGACACAACTTCATAAACCAGAACGGGTCGTCTCATAACGGCGGCGCCTCGGAGCAGGAAGAGGCAGAGGTGGGGTTCGAGAAACGCGGCGTGGGTTTAGACTTTGCCCTCTTAGACAGCACCTTCCTCCTCTCTCAGGTTATCCCCTCTCTCTTCATGGGCACCGTCGTTCAGCTGGCACACTCCGTCACTGCCTACATCACCTGTTCTGCCATCTTCGGTGCCCTCGCCATCTACCTGGCCAGTCGGGTTGTCTTTGACCAAAAAGACCTCAAGTGCTGAGACTGAAGCAGGAGACGTGTCGTGCGGAGGAACGGAGGAGCGGAGGGAGCACAGAATCATTCAGGTTAAGGTTACGCCCAACAATGCACTACTGTTCCCACAATGCCTTGATGAACTTGATGAGCTCTTCAACGAATGAGGAGAGAAAGTGGCCAACGTCAGAATATTTTTGAGCCCAGCAGGTTTTTTTTTTTTATTTCACGGCCTTGTTCTCAAGTATTTCTTTTTGTTTTATAGGTAAACAACAACATTCAAACACTTAGGGTTCGACAGACGACCTCTGCCCAATGCTCTGTTGTCCGTTGATATTAATACGTAAAGTCAAACCGTCTGTTGTCCATCGTTGATATTAATACGTAAAGTCAAACCTGTGAATGCCAGCCTGTTCAACACCAACTGTCCCTAAAGGACATCCAGTGTAAAAACTCTGGAATTAATTCTCAATATTTATGTTGTGTTGTCTTTTAACAGCTTTCTTTTTTTTTGTTTTCAACAGAATCTGCAGCTTTTTACATTTTTACTTCTAATCATAATCTGTTCCACAGATTAGCTGCTTTGCTACTTTCCCATCTTTTGCTGTCATCACCTCAGCTCTACCTTCTTTTCTGTGTTGGACCTTGGGTCAAACTGAGCTCAAACCCTAAGCTTTAGAACAGGGAGGAAAAAAAAATTCTATCACAACTTATTGTGAATCTGACAGAGCCCCCAAGTGGTGAATGTGTGTCACAAATAGCTTTTTTCTTTTTTGTCTCCAGTTCATGAGCGCCTGTTACTTATAATCTAATTTGTTCATCAACAAAATACTTCCTTAAGTATAACCTGTGTTCCCTTCATATACAGTGAACAAGGATGAGTCTGAGACAATACTGAGTATACAGCCTGGGAGTACTACAGCGTTAGTATTTGACAAAAGTGTGAGTTTGACCAAATATTATGTTTACTTTACTACTGGCCCATTACTACAGTATCCAGTTTTTTCAGGAAGAGAATTTTTTTTATCATAAATTGTTTTTTTTTATTAATTGTTATTTTATTTTTTTCTCCTACAACTATTCTCAAATGACTATTTTCCCCAAATATATGACATCATATAATTTTCACCTTTTTCCAGAACGCTACAGTGTGACTCTGTAATTCACATTTTAGTAGTTTTCATCTATCATTCGTTTAAAAAGTTCTTCTCAGCAACATTCAGAGCTTCACCAGCAAATTGGATCAGTCTACTTTTTTAAAATTTTTTTTTCAGTTCAGTTTTTTGTTTCTCAGTTTTTCGTTGTTTCATTTTAGTGGAGTAAAAAAATGCGTCTGGATCTCCTCCGTCTGTTTCCCACCGTGTGTCAGTGCTTCTGATGAGGTCAGTTATCTCAGGTGTCGCTGGTCATCATTGTATCACTTTCCCCTCTGCTTAAATATAGATGGTGTATTGACTTACCAGAAGACAATCATTGACAGACACATGGTTTTTACCATCTCCTGACTCATTAGCGACGTCACAGGCCGTTTTCAACCAGTGAAGCTCAGCGGCTGAAAAAAACAAAAAAAACCTAACATAAATCACAACATGTCCATCAAAGACGGAGACTTGTCCGAGGTGTTTGCCCACAACCACAACAGTAGACTGTTTCACTGTGCTTTTCCACTCTTATTGTGCCTAAATTATTATTACAAGAGCGCCGTAACATGAACTGGTCACATACCTCTGTTCCCTGTTAGTAGGCAGTGATTGGATACTGGAATTAATAATCATACGGGGGATACTGGGCTCAAGGCTACACTGGTGTTTGTGTTTGGTGGCATTCTCTGAATTATTTTATTTTTCCTCATGGTCACGGAGGAAGTAGAAACAACCAGCATTGGTCAGGTGAGAAGGTGTGCAGAGTAGGCCTCGACTGAGGGCAAACGTGAGGATTATTGTTCTTTATGACAAAGTTCTTCAGAACTCTCTTTACTGGTGTTTGTGACTGATGTAGAAATGCAATGGGTTCAAAACCACTAGCTTCAATACAAAGGTTCAAGTCCCCTGAAAGGACCCTGCTCTGGAGTGTGACCCTTATCTTGACACTACTGCTATTTTTATTTTATGTTTTTTTTTTTCATAAAAATGCACAGGAATATATTACCTAGCAGTAGTTGAAATGTCAGGAGGGGGGGGGGGTTATTTTTCAAGTGCCTGTACATTAATTTTTTTGTAATATTTTTGTATATATGTATTATTTATTATGTTTTTATTTCCAAAAAAAAAGAACATATTAAACTGTTGCCCTCGTTGACATCTTTTGACAGGTGTGTAGGTGGAGGCTGTTTCTGTGAAAATCAAAAAGAGAAGATAAATTATTTGTATAGATGTGATGTAGAGTAAGGCTCTATTTTAACACTAGCCCTGGTTTGTTCTGTCCCGTCGGTGACGTCACGGAGCTTTTCCGCTGTCGTCTGCTCTCAGTGTGTGTCACACATAGACTGTGCATGAGGAAAGGTCGTGGCCGTGAGTCAAGAACAGGAAAAAGAGCATAAGTTTGTTTAAGCTTGTTTTGTTACTTCATGTGAATGAATGTCGGTCACTAAATTTATCTGTTCTTCGGTGGAACATAATGCCAGTTTTGTTGATAAAAAACATATATGTTTATATGTATATATATATATATATATGTTTATATGTATATATATATGTATATGTATATATACATATATATATATGTTTATATGTATATATATATGTATATGTATATATACATATATATATATGTTTATATGTATATATATATATATATGTTTATATGTATATATATATATGTATATATATGTGTATATGTATATATATATGTATATATATATATATGTTTATATGTATATATATATGTATATGTATATATACATATATATATATGTTTATATGTATATATATATATGTATATATATATATATATATATATTTATATGTATATGGATATATATGTTATATTTATATAGATGTATGTATGAGTGTATTTAAGAGTCAGTGAAACAACAGCTGTCACCAGTGATTGACAGCCGTCCTGTCTGTCCCTCAGCACGAGGATGAAGTTGACGTTGACTGATGCTGTGTTCTGTCTGCGTTTGCATTGGGTTTTTTTTTTTTTCCGTCATTTTCATACCGTTGCAGCACTTTTGGAATCCTTTTCTCTACACGTCTACGCCCATTCCTTATGCAGTGTCTATGGTATCGTGTCATTATCATTTTTTTTTAACCAGCAGATAACTGGGTTGTTAACTGGTTAGGTTTTCTGGTGCTGTTGCCAACAACAACAACAAAAAACTGTCATTCTGCTCTGTGATTTAACCAATTGTTTTGTCTTAATTTGTCAAATTCTTTAACAGATGATCCTCTCACTCTGCTCATCTCATATGGTGGAGATTTCGTCATTGCTGTAGAACTCATGTCGTCTTTAATTTGAAGACCAGACGGCATGTTCTGGTCTGAATAATCAGGTTTACATCTTCAACCATAATGAAAAAAAGGTTGTATTTTCCATTGTCTCTCATCATACTGTTTATTTATGCAGTTGCCAAATAGACTTTTATACAAATTTAAAGAAACTGCATTTTTCAAGAAATAAAAAGTCTGGTCTTTGTATTTTACTTTGGTAGTTTTGATCACCCTCAGAAACTCTGTTTGTTCTTAAAAGTTTCCAAAAGTATTCAGTGATGCTTTGATTGGAGCAGGAAAATTTTTTTTTTTTTTTAGGTAAAACATACAGCAATTTGCACTAAAAACATGTTTAAACATTTCAGATTTTCTTATAAAGTAAATGTTGACATGTCATGATCCATAGAACAACTCTGGAGTGATCTGAAGACCAAAGTTTAGACCTAGCATAAAGGATTTTTTTTTACAGAGAACGATGGTTGGAATATTTCAGGAAACTTGTTCAAAACGACTTAAATTTGTTAAGTTTTGTGAAGAAAAAAAAAGATTGTACCTGTGAGCACTAGTAAATAATGTAATGTAATGTAACGTTAGCCTTTCATCAGGAAACGTGTTGAAATGAAACCTGTGAGTTCATGCAGGATTCGTCACTTCTCGTGGTGTTTTCAGAAACGCTATGGCAATGGTGCCATCCTTTGGAAGTCCTGGGGAAATGGTGTGTGCAGGAGAGGGTGCTGGTGCGCAGCTGCATTGATACTCCCCCCCCCCCGCCACCCCGCCCCCGCCCCGATTACATGGAAAATGCTGTCATGTTGCAGCGACATGGCATCCCAACTATGTGTGCCATTTCGTGACCGCCCTCTCCACTTTGAGCCCCACAAATTTTCCTAAATCCACTCAACACATACTCCAGAAAACACTTTATCAGAACACTCCGTGGGCAGAGACACTGTTGCGCCCCTGCTCAAGGGCATGTCAGCAGAGGTCGCGGGGTCTTGAACCCTGATCTCTGTCTCTGCGGGCTGAGGACGCGTCGCGTCGCAGCAGAGCAGCAGGAAAACACTGCTTTTAGGATGGAAAGTTGTTGAAGGGCGCAGCAGAACGGCGGCCCACTTGTCTCCGGTGACAAGTGGGCCTGTTTTTACACCTTCCTTCTAAATAAGGAAGCTGCCTGACAGACATATGACCAGCACAGGCCCAATTTGGGAGTAGCATGAGTGTCCCGTCGCGTCCTACGGCGGATGAACGCCACCAATAAGCTTTCTCCCCCCTGCAGTCCGGCAGTGACAAGAGGCCGGTCCTCAGTGCTCTCCACGGGCTGGGTATTTTCCCTGCTGTCAGCACCCTCCATCTACACAGTGTGTTATCCCAGTGCCGGAGTCAGCATGATGTCACGGGCTGGGATGCGACATCCCTGGCAAAACTGAAGCAGGGTTTTTGGGGGCGATCGCTGTAGGATTTTCTCCTGAACCCACCCGACCAAGAGAAAGAGAGATAGGGAGGAAATTGAGAGAGAGGGGGAGTGTGTGTGTGTCTGCGTGACAGAGGGAGAGAGAGAGAGAGAGAGAGGGAGGGAGAGAGAGAGGCGCGGAGGACCTGATAAACATGGTAATCACCACCACCACCATCACCATCACCTCCAGCTCTGCCGCGCACTCTCCCGTCTCCTCTCCTCCTGCGCACCGGGGCTTGCGTTTCATGCCAGAAGCCCTGATCTGCGCTCCAAAAATAACCCGC